GAAGAGCGTTCTGATCCTATTGAACACACGGCTCGAAGGAAGAGGATGACCTCGGTCATCCGGATATGAATATCCCTAGTTATTACTAGCCAGAGGGATATCGGAATGACCTTACGAGCCCGAGACCGGGCTGCTCGCATGAGAATACGATCGAGGGATTCTCAGGGATATAAGGGCTGCGGATCCCCTCTATAATTACTAGTTAGAAGCAACAGTCTCAATTTATCCCTTTTACCTGTGAATCTGGAAGCTGTTGGTGGCGACACCAACAGAATAACTATCAATATATTATTCGGCTGGATTCTACCTATACGAGCATACACATCAACGCTACTGGGACGGCAATAGCAGTCCAAAAAGACACCAGAGCGGGAACCCCTGAACTCTTGTCACATGTGTAGCCCGACGGAAGCGTCCTGTTCGCGAAGATACCGCAGTCAAGCTTCCCCGATGCATCGCTGACCGAGAATGACTGGGTCACTTCCACATTGTTGGCAATGAATGAATCGCTGTGCCCATTGTGTTAGTTTGGGCAGTGGAGAGAATGAATCGCCTGTTGTAGCGAAAAGGGGGGTGCTTACAAGAATGAAGTTGACACATTCGAGGTGATGTTCACGCTTGCCATCGAGCTCTTAGGCCAGTACCACGTCTTCTGACCGTCAGCGTCATTCTCTGACTCGAGTTTCAAGCTCCCACAACCGCTGATTGTCAAGGAAAGGTTCTTCCAGTTCTCCGCCTGAGATGGTAGGGAAAGGGAGCGTAACTTGCTAGAGTTGAAGAGCGCTATGGAGTCGACCGTATCAAAGGGGAGGCTCAGGTCTGTGACATCATGGTCCGTATCCAACCTGAACTTGCCGACGTGTAGATTTTCCAGGTTGTCTGCGCGCTGGATACCGAGAACGCCCCCGTGTAGGATGACCTCCTTGTAGGAGATGGATTTTGTCTCGGGCCCGCCGAGCACGATTGTCAGATTGGTGCCCCATACCTCGAGCTTATCCATGGCCGTCCAGCCAAGGTTGAGAGTGCGCACGTTGCGCAAGGCTGGGGGTTCAGGAGAAGCCCCTTTCCCGGGGTCCAGGTCGGGATCTCGGACGTGTTGATTGGGTTCTTGAAGAAGGCGTCGACATTGTCCAGCTTTCCTGCGTTGTTGAGGTAGATACCGCCAGTGTAGCCTGATTCCGGGAGCAGCTCCTTGCTGCCGTTCATGTGCAATTTCTCGAGATTCGTGGTTCCCAGCTCAAACGATGAAACAGACTCGAGGCTGGTGAGATCCATCTCCTTTAGAGAAGCCGTGTCCTGGACGGCAAACTCGTTCCAGACATACGACAGGTTGGGAAGGCTGAGCTTCTCGAGGTTGTTGTACGTCATGAAGTCGATGCTACCATTAACCTTCCTCAGCGTGGAGCTGGAGAACCCCAACGGGCCCTTGGGGAAGTTCTTGCAGCGGATGATGGCAGTCGCATCACATCCGTAGTGCGTAAGATCTCCGTAGATCTCCTCGACGCCGTCGAGGTTGATGGTGTCGAGAAGTTGTTCGGTGAGAGTCACGTTACCGCGGATGACCTTGCACGCCCTTCGAACTTGCTCGGCGTCGGTGGCGTTTCCGATCGTGATTGGCGCGTTACAGTCTATGTCGGCTAACACATCTGCCAACCAGGTGAATGGGATTAGCCTACATGCATAGCTAGAAGCACGATGGCTGACGGTTGAACTTACGATTGGCTAGGGAGACAAGCCCGGCAGCGAGAAGCGCAAGACGCGCGAGCATGATGGATCTGTAGTTTGAAGTGAAGGTTCCGCCACCCGAACCTCCATTCTTCTCGCTGCAGAGAACAGTGTTGAAGTGAAGGAGGAAAGCCATTTTGTAGATGTCCCTGGAATATCAGCCGCAGTGGATATTGGCTCGAAAACGCGGCTTTCACGCCGCTTGACGAAGCCCAAAGGGGTGTCTCGTCTCCCGGTCTCAGTTGGAACTTTCTTGGCATGTTGGAAATATGGAGGAGTTGAGCTGCCACGTGCCTCGTTGGCCTGTGATCATTCGCCTAGGAATCTCCACCCGGACATTATTCTGCTGGCAGATCGGCCGTTGGTAAGAGTATTTTTATGCCTAAAATACAACAAGGCCTAAGGAACGCTTTCGATGTAAAAAATCCATGGATGGGAAAAGAAGCCGGACTCTGCCGCCATTTTGTCACCCACTTCCCGGCCATTGCTGATTTCCATGGTGGCTGATGATATGTGGAGCTCCATAGATAAGACCAACGACAGATGATGTCTGTGAACGCATTTATTTATCAAACTACCTATATGCGAATGCATGAAGCCATGGTTGTAGAACTTCCTGAATTTTGTATGAAATTTAATGCACCTAATGGCAAATTGTCTATCAACTGGTGATACCATCTCTTGGTCTAAAGGAGTAAGTGGTGGAATTCCTTGATCCGAAAACCATGGTACCAGGCGACTATTCTTCGATCAGTAGAAAGAACTAGCCGTAGACATCGGTAAGGAGACGCACCAATACCAAGAATCTGCCGGGCATAGAAGTGGCAAGAGAATCGGTGACGGGATCTAATGTTCTCTCACAATAGTAGGGAGTTAATGAACTGAGATGTACCATTGTCTTTCGTCTGCGTCTTTGTTCGGCTAGGTGAACGTGGACAGGCCGTTCCACGCTAAAGCATAAAAGAACTGGAAGATGCCTGCTTTATTCATCAACAAGATGGATCAAGGGTGGACAATGCATTGCAAATTTCCATTAGCTAGAAGATAGAAGGGCATCTATTGCTTGTAGGTTGAAATGTGTTCAACAAAATAGACGCAACAATTTTAAAAAATCCCAAAAAAATCGAAGAGAATGTGAGGGTTTTGGTCTGTTTCCTCTGGGTTAGAACCTTTTCACTGCGGTGACTGGGACGTAATGCGGGCGGACCTCCTGCTACTTCGCCGAGTTTTGCAGCTCCAGCGTGCACAGCCAAACTTCTTCCTGCACATCACACGCAAGCACAACTTATTGTGCCCTGATTTACAAACAATATTCCACAACCGGCAACTGCTGTGCTCTCATATTAAAGCACCGAAGGTAGTACCAAGTTGCACGTGCCTGGATTTATGATGCCTTTTCTCACTGACAGAAGAATTCACCCAGTTGCCCCCCACAGCAAGTGACCACATCACTTGAGACCAAGATTTCAGCCTCTCTTCGACAACCTAAATCACTCTACCTTGTGAAGGAATTTTTGATCTTGGTTCGTATACCATCTACAATGAGAGATCAGGGGACACTGATACTAAACTTTCAGCACAACAGATCTCGGCCAGCAGTCTCCCATCAAAACAAACGCACAACACTCAACAGCTCGTTCCAAAAGCACATCCACTCCCGCCAAGAGACTCGCAACTTCTCCTCGGACCAAGAAGCGCTACAGATCAACTCACCTTCGGTTATTCCTCGACCTTAACCTCGACGATCCCTCTTCATCACGATGCCCTGCCTCGTGTGCCACTCCACCCATCGGAGCGTGCCGAAAAGGCACATTATCGTGGACGAAAACCAATGGGTTAACTGCGCGACGTGCGCTCTCCTTTGCCCTGAATGCATGGGTCTGGGACGATGCGGGAAATGCCGAGGAACGTTTCGTGTGGCAAACACGGGTGCTGACAACAATTGCACCGACTGTTTGGGGTTGGGAGTGGTTCAAGCCTCGAGAATGATAATCTGCCGTCATCCAATGTGGAAGCATGCGAAAGGAGACAATTAAAGTCTGGAGTGGAATAAGTTTTTCGAAAAAGAGATTTCTTTTCTTTTTCTTTTTCCTTGTTTGGAGTTTGATTCTGTTAGCTCAGATAAGTAAGGACACGAAAATACTACTCTACATCCTACGTTTGGTAGCTAAGTTAAATCATCAAGACCAACTCGTTACACCCGTGTCTCAGTCCACATGACTTCCTCGAAATGAAGCCCAGGCTCACCTCAAAATGATACCGAAACCCGTCCCTGCCCGAAGTTTCAGCGACGCGTTTGAATTTGTGGAACTCCATGTCAGACAAAGCATTGTAGCGGATGACTGTCCTGGAGTCTAATTCCAGATTCCTGATGATGTAGCTCGATGCAGGCTCAACGCGTCCCTCGCGGTATATGCAGAATTCAGTATCCATGCCGGGTTCCAAGGACTGGTTTATCTCCTACACTACCGGGCACCGGGAGCTAAGGAGGAGCCCAACGAGATATAACCCGATGTTGCCATCCATGGCAAGGTCGGTGTGGAAAACTTGGCCCATGATCTCAAGCACTGAGATCTTTTCTTCCGAACGAATTGCAGGGCAATGGTAAGGATTAGCTAGGTGTTGAGAGTCGAGCAATAGCACTGGCCTCAAAACTGTCTCGATGCAGCATTTTCCACCGCGATGAAATACTTTATGATGGCCCAGATGCCGGAATAACTTTAGACAACGTGTCCAGGAGTAGTGATGTCCATATTTGATCCAGCAATGACTCTTTGGGTAACATCTAGGAGTACCTATCATATAGTGTGTGGTTGAATTTCAACAACAATATGTAAACAAGCAAGCCAGTAGTAATAATATGTCAAGCTCAATATCATGATATAAGTTATCCTTTTTTATTATTATTGTGTTTAAAGTATTATTAAGAAAACAATGTCCCTGCCTTACATGAAAGGAGCTTTGGTGAACGATGCTATATATTAGCCACTTGCCTTGTCTTTATTCAGTGGGGACGGACTCCATAGTGGGTCAACTGGCCCTCCAACACCACGGCCGAAACTTCTCAATTCCTTACCTACCTTAACTCTCTTCGTTTAGCCCAGTGATTATTAGAGCGCCCCTCGTACTGTACCGCTTTTACGGATATCGGCTGTTTTTCAAAGAGCATTGCGGCAACCAAAGTACAAGAGAGCAACCGGATCTGACTCCCAACAGCTCGCTGTCGTGACGATGGCCCTGCCTGAAACAAAGTGCTGACCTTCCTCGAACATTCATGTTATGACTTACTCTAACGTCGATACTAGGCTTCCTCCTATTCGCGCTTTGATATTCGACATGGACGGGCTACTCATCAACTCCGAAGACATCATCCACGAGGCCGCGAACACGCTCCTTGAGAAATACGGAAGACCCCTCTTGACCCAGTCGATGCGAGCCAAGCTCATGGGCGTGGCTGGATCAACCAACAGCGACATGTTCCATGACTGGGCCCAGTTGCCCATCCCTCGGGAGCAATTCCGTCGCGAATTAGGGGAGCAAATGAGGCACCGATTTCCTGACTGCGAGCCACTGACTGGTGCCGAATGGCTGCTGTCAAACCTCTGTCAGGCGCGCAATATTTCGACCGGGGCGAAGATTGAGTTGGCTCTGGCATCTAACACCAAGAGTACCTCCTATGAATTGAAAGTCTCGAGACCAGAGACAAGGCGTCTGTTGGCCTACTTCCAGCTGGAGAGGCGGGTGCTAGGCGACGATCCGCGACTAAGGCAGGGAAGGACTAAGCCACTGCCCGATATTTACCTCATCGCGCTCGATTCGCTTAATTCGAGTCTAGATCCCGGATTGAAGCCCATAAAAGCCAACGAATGCTTGGTTCTTGAAGATAGCGTGGCCGGGGTAGAAGCTGGGAGGCGGGCTGGGATGAGGGTCATTTGGGTTCCGCATCCAATTCTGGCGGCTGAGTATCAGTCGAAGCAAAAGCATATATTGGCAGGAAGGTCGGCTATCTTCGACATCGGAGATGACTGGCAGCTAGGCGAAGTCGATGATTGCTGGGCTGAAAGCATTCCGAGTCTGCGGCACTTTGACTATGGCAAATACAACATCCACGTGCCATTGTAGATGGATTCCTCCCTATTGTCAGAGTATTGCATTCTCGCTCGTTAATAAATTACAGGTATGGTCCCCGCCTGCCACTGCCAAGAGATTTTGCCCTGGTCAGTTTATGATGCACTACTGCTTATGGAAACCCAATGTCCGAGATAAGCAGTATGCATGATAGGCTGATACTCCTTCACTCCCTTCTAGGGAGTTAAAATTGCTGTACACCTCGCCCTAATGTATTAAAGCATTCTATAGGGCTTACTTCATCAAAACTTAAAGTAGGATCCACCACCTTAATCTCTAGCGTCGAGACCTTCTTGCCCTTGGCCGATGGGCAGGGATCAACACCACAGGTTTGGGTAGGAAATCTGAGATCTGAGTAATGGGGCGACCTATACCTGATGTCATCTTGACGTTGGGCTTTTGCGCAATGCTTGATGCAACCACCTCGAAGGAGCGCATTCATACCGGCGTAAATATCTTCGTCGAGATGCAAACCCTTCTTGGTAGGTGATATAAACTATTGATCCCTTTGTAACGGCAACCCCGCCCGAGTGTTCTTTGCTCGATCTCTCGGTGTCACCCTGATTCTCATCAGCTTCGTCGTCGCCTTTGTCTTGCGATGGGATTGTCAAGCTGGGCCTGGGGTAGAGGGCATATGCTTTGGCATTCTCCACCATTCAAATCAGTTTGGGCTCGATCTGAACCTTCTCCTACCAACGTAAGGTATACATATACGTAAGTTAAAAAATACATTCGCTCTACCTGTGTCCAAGCCGACGCATCTTAGCATTGCGGAAGTACGCCAGAGAACAGTTCAAGGAAGAAAATAGAAGACTTCCACAGCTTGTTGGGCGGGAAAATGACCAACTTTCTCTTAACCCAAAGGTAAACTCAGAGACAAAATGAAGTTTCTTTGCGCTCACAATAAGAGGGCTTGTTCCTTGTCTAGATGTAACATTGGATAGATGATGGTACTGTGACAGTGATTTATTGGATACGAATAAAACATATATGAAATAATTAAACGTGCCATGGCTGATGATGTATGAATCAACGCCGTACAAAACCTAAAGAAATCGGCAATCTATAGACATTTACAAGTTTGGACCGTGGGCTGGACCTGACCAAATGTGGTTGCGGCCATCTCTTTGCGCGAAGCCAACTTGGGTGTTTCTTCCTCCGGCAAAGTTGGCTTAATACAAACTACCGGGCCTTATTCGTTCCAGTTCTGGCGAAGCCACTCCTCCAAAGTCGTAGGGTTAGGATTAAACCTCCTGTTTTCGTCCACGTCGGCGTTGAACCCTTCCTTGGCAAGCCAGACTGTCATGGTGCCATACTCTGGCGTGCCAGGGACTCCATACTTCAGGAGCCTTCCAACTACCCCGCAGGTTGTCGGCGCTGGCTTTCCAGTGACCTTCTCAAACGCCCTACTGACCTCAGAAAAGGTGAGAACTTCCGACACAATACCTGTTGACTTCCCCTTCCAGCCCTCCAGGTCATGGAACGCTTCCGCGACAGCAATGCCAATGTCCTTGCAAGCAACCCATTGCAACGGCTTTTCCCCCATGATCTGGTGCAGCATGGTGAAGAAGGCCTTGATGTTGAATGATGGCTCAAGATTGTCCATGAACATCCCAGGGCGGATGATTGTCCACTCCATTGTGCTCTTGTTCTTCTTCAACTGATCGAGAAGGTAGTGCTCGAGAACGTACTTGGTTTGGAAGTGCGGGACCGGAGTCCGGTTCTCCCAAGATCTCTTATCTCCACCTCGCTCGACGCTGCTGTAGACGAAGTGACGGACTCCAGCCTTGATGGATTCGTCGATCATGGCCTTTCCTTGGCGCACCTCGCTCTCGAGCGATGCGCCGGGTGCGAAGAACACTTGGACGGAATAGACCCCCCAGAGAGGAACCCAGCCTGCGGCATCCTTGGCAGCTTTGAACAGCGCAGGGACATCATTCAAGTCTCCCTTCACCAGCTTGATTGAAGATGACTTGGCTGCGATGCGTTTCGCGGCTGGGGAGTCGGTGCTGCGAGTTACGGCTAGAATGAGAAAGTCGTCGGTGTTCTTGGCAAGGAGAGCATCGATTACGGCGCCACCTTGTCGGCCGGTCGCTCCGGTGATTAGAAGGGCTCTAGACTCGGACATGGCGTTAATTAGAAATCGTAGAGGACTTATTTCTTTGAAGGGGGTCAAAAGTGAGTATGATAAGCGCTCCTAGTATGCTAAGAAGAGCAGGGTGGGGCTCTAAAAGCACAGAACTAAGAATTCGAATACGTGCAATGGGACAGAATGATACGAGAGACGCAGCTTACAACTTCCCTGGGAGATGGAGACTAAATATATGTGCACCTCCCATTTTCCCACGGCCGGGGGGATTCTGTTGCCGAAGTGTTCGCATTGCCGTATCGGTATCGAAATTGGGCCGACGGTGAAGTGGATATCCGGACTCGGGCTTGGAATTGGAAAGACAAAACACACGGATCGCAAAAGTGATTAACAAGCGGTTTCGTTTATAAGCAGTATTATGGCTGCGGAACGGGATCACCATTACCAATTGTCAGGCTACAGCATCAGATCTTCTGCCGCTCCAGACCGCCAAGCAGATTCTGAGCCGCGCCTTCCATCTCTTCCATTGATCTCTTCCTTGGTACCTGAGGTATCCAGTTCACCCTGAGCCTCTGGCTACCCTAGAGCTACCGTAAGTTTCACAAAACACCATGGCCATCCAGGGATATCGTGTTCTGGCAGTTAATTAAGCTGATGAATCATAATAATATCTCTGATGAGCACCGGATTAGCCCACTTATGAGGGGTCTAGAGCTATCAGTTGTGCGTTGTCCTGGTGTTGAATGGTTTACTACCCACGGTGTAGGTTGTCACACTGCCGAAGCTCACAATAACAGGCGTCGCTCAATGCTGGTTACCTACGGAGGGTACCCTTAGTAAGGTACCCCGATGCACTCGTACTTCAACTTACTCGACTATTCCTGTTTTTGAAAACAACAACCGTTTGATTGATCCATGTCTGAATTGCGCGAATCAGGCCCCATCAACATATCTTACGAGCGTCTTGACACCGGAACGCCTGATCAGCATCGCTACGCTGCTGTGATGGTTCTCTCTGATCATGGCCTGACCCACGCGATCGCTGATACTGTTCTGGATATCGAGAAATGCATCTACACTGCTGCTCAAATTGAGTGTGCCAAACCCTGCGAGGGCGATGACGAGGGTAACGCAATCACCACAAGTCCTTCCTCTAACGCCGTTCGGACTACTAATCAAGTTCTCCTCTAATTCTATAGCACAAGAAGCAATTACACGAACATATTGCTGCCGGAGACCCCCCTGACATGGCTTGCAACTCGTATTTGACTGCTGCCTTCGAGAAGTACGCAAGCTGTATCAACCAAGCAAAATGCATCTGCTGTACAATAGCGTCGAACGGCCTCACTTCTTCAACATGCTACAGGCCCGCAGCCCTTCAGGTTATTAACGTGACACCGTTCGTCACTACGACCTAACTAGATGCCAGCCGTTGGCAGACATCGAGCCGTGATGGAATCTCAACTGGCTAATTGCCCCCGCATCGCCATCTCCACCGGCACGGAGTGTTTCGACAGCACTGTTCCAAGACGTATCGCCAAGAAGCCTTCTTCGCACCACACGATGGTATTTCGATCCTCCTCGCTGAAAGCTCGCTCATGACCATGACCATCCCCACGACCAACACCACGATTATAGACACGGCCACGACGACAGTTCCGATCATGGCAAGCGATCTTGCTGAACAGAGCACCCTCCCAAGGCACCGGGGTCATCGAAACCGGTATTTTTTTCAGAAAGGCGTCTGTTGCCATTGGAGGCACGGGCTGCACCAGCTTCGGCGTCAAGCTTTCTTATGTCTTGTTCATGACACTTGGTGTCACTCAAGCTTGGGTCAACTTATTGTAGGCCGTGCTGATTTCACGATCAACATAAAGGCCACTACCCCCGACCAAGCTGTTCATCTTGCCATGAGTGGATCTGGCCTTCTTTTGACACACATCGTCGGGGTGCCTACTTCCTCCACGTTGGCTTGAAAAGACCTTGCTCGCCAGCCTCGGAATAGAGCCACTGATGTCGTTGTCTTGGACAAGAAAACCATTCAACTTGCCCATGGCCCCACCACTGTTGAGCCCGGATCATTCTCGATTCCATCTCCGATAGGACGCCCGCGCTCGCACCACCCTGCGCTGATCCTCAACTGGAGACTTGGCGCCGTAGGCTTTGGAACCAAGCTATCAAGGCGGGCTTGACGGCGTTCGTAGCATCCCCGTCGTTGTACTTTCTTGGGGCGAGGATCTATCTCACCGACAAGAAGGAGAAGGCGATTGTTTCTATTGTCCTAGGTCCGGCTGTCAGAGCGATTGCTGTTCCTGAAATTCATCAGCCTGCTCTGTCCACTCTCTTCTACAGTCCTGGCATCGAACTGGATATGCTTGTTGTGACCAACATCAACGCTACCTATCTCTACTCTGTTGTTGCCTTTGGCTTCCAAATGGCAGGAAAACCACTTGGAACATTTGAATTCGTTGGAGCTACTCTCCTCATTATATTGACCGTCGTTCGGCGTCTGATCGTCACTTTCTCTCATTGCAAGGCCATTTCCGCTGTCTCTGTCCAGTTCATCCAACATACCATGGCTGTACGTGTCAACAACGGGGGAAGAGACCAGGGGATTGGCGCCCGCCTTCTCCAGTATGGTGACCAGTCCCATGTTCTGCCGCACTCTTGCCAACCGAGAGAAAGATCATCGATGGCGCCACCGAAATGGACGGGTCAATGCCGACTGGAGAAGATCGATATCCAGTTGTTGCAGGTACCATCAATAGCGACGGCACCGTTCTCGTCCAGCTTGAACACGAAGCCTAAGGTCCAGAATCTTGCAGATAACGTTATCCTCAGGTTTTCCCTTTCAATGCTTATATCGCCATTGCCGTTCTTTTTATCTGGATCGTTATCTAGTTTAAAGTCACGGATTCTTTTACCAACAGAGCTGTCCTAGAGACAATCACCTACCTCGTCGCCGCCCTCACAGTGGCGTGCCTCTGCGCTCTTGGACTCGCCCTCCCTGTGGTTCTTGTTGTTGATGGAGGCATCGCGGCTCGTAATGGTGTTATATCAAGTCGGCAGAGACCACCCAGCGACCCCTTAAGGCAACCAACATCATCTTCGATAGAACAGGCGCCATCACAGAGAACGATCCCCCCTTACGGAAGAGAGATTCTTTGATGGGGAGAAGAAGGGTTTTACAACCGATCCAGCCAAGGTCCTCGTGGCTAGTGGAAACCAACCTGTCTCTGCGGCGTTCTCTAAGCACCAGGTTATCCTCACCAGTGAGGACAACGTCAAAGGGCATGTCACAGATATTCACGTCGTGCCTGGTGCAGGGATTGAGGATAAATTTGGTGACGATGTGAGGACTCTCCACGCTGGCCGCTCACGTTAAACCAAGACTAGTCTGCAAAGGGAGGACTTACAACGCTCGCTGTCACCCTTGATGGTGCTCAACCTGTGGCTTTTGGCCTCCGCACCCATACCCGCCCGATAGGCATCCGGATCATCTCAGAACTTAGATCCCGCAACATCAAAGTCTGGAGATCAACGCACGGCTGTGAAAAGTGGCCGTGGCGGCTGTTGGTATTCCTAATGATATCACCGCTGCGGAGTATACACCTTTTCAGCAAGATGACTTCGTAGCGTCTCTCATGAAAACTCTCCTGGATACGTTCTGTTCTGCTGCGATGGCACCAACAATGCTGTGGCCATCGCACAAGCAAACGTTGGCATTTAGAGTGGCGGTAGCTCTGCCATGTCCAGCGACGTGGCCCAAACTGCCACAGATGACATGCTTCTCAACGGCTTCGAGCGGATAATCAATATGCGCATTTGCTCCGACGCATTTTCCCACTAAAACATGAGTACATCAGACCTTCTCAGCCGCGATCGGCATGACGACGCAACCATATAAGCGACGTGGCTGTGCAAGATAACATGATGGCACTGCCCTTGCAAACAAGGCAGATGACCCCAAATGGGGGCAAAAAACTTGGAAAATGTATTCATTACATATTATTTCAGGCGTACCAGATATCAAACGCTGTAGCCCGCTCAGACATGTGGAAGGCTGATTGGTGAGGGTGCATCGAAGATGATATCGAGATCGACAAGGCGTGCAGAAAGGCGCACAATTGTGCGATGTCATCCGATGGACCCGAAGTATAAAGCCGTGCCCTTCTGGGGTGATAGCTTGGATTTTCTTTTTTTCTTTTCTGGCATCGTTCCATTCTCAACGAAATCTGATCCATCTTTCGATTTCTAGTTACTTGATTCACCATGGGTTGTAGGTAACACATCTATCTTCCACAAAACCACTATGACCCTAACGATAGGACAGTTCTCGACAGAATTATTACCACGATCGGCCCAAAAGGGCAGCAGGCGGCAAAGCAGGTAGTGGGTCAGACAGCTGGAGCAGGAGCTCAAAAAGCGCAAGAAGAACATGAAAAAAGGGAGAAGGAGGACAATAATGACCGAAATGACGACCGCTCGGACTGGTAAAGTGACAGCTTGCAACTGATATAGTCCGGAGCCGAAGAAGAGTCGTGGAGGCGACGATCAGGGCGCTCAACTTAAACCACGGCCAGTTGGTGTGGACTTTGCCTTCTCTCTCTTAGATATGCAACCTACTACGTATTACAAGCTTGCGGATTGAACTTATTATTGTTTTATTTTTGGTAGATCAAAGCAGCAAACTTCCTAAGTACTTTGGTCCAAATACTATAATATACGATTTACCCCTGATTCAGAGCATACATTGCTCCTCTATTCCCGCACACTTTATGACGCCTTCAGAAAAGATTTCCTTTCATTAATGAGGGGCTAGCTTGAAGCCGCTGCAACACGACTCGATCAATCGGGTGACGGGTGTTTGTGAACCAGCCTGAATGCCACGTTTGTCAAGAGCTGTCCCATCTTCGATGTAAAGATATCCGATGGCCGATCCTGAGGATTCTTTCCACGGGATCAGTTCTAAGTCTAAACGAGCGAGTTCTGTCTTTCTTACCTGGGACTCCGGGATCGATATTCCTACAGAGATCATGTTGTCGCGAATTTGATTGTATAGTGAGTCTGCAACGCTGTTTTTCTCGCCTACAGAAGCTAAAATGGAGGACAAGAAGCAAGCGGTGTCTCTGCTCTGTTGACGACTATTATCCAAGAAGTCCTCAATCAGAACTAGGCAGGCGAGGTAACTTGAAAAATTCGTAATCGGGTTCTTGAACGTTGTTTTGAGATCGGTGGTCATGCGTAGGATATGCGCAATCTCCTCTGCCCCGGCAAGCGTCCGTTCTTGGCTGTGCCGAATGTTCTGACCGGTGGATGCTTTTCGGGGTTCCGCTCTAAGTAAACATATCCGCGTCCTGTGAAGAGTCATAATCGCAGTGTGTATTTGGGCATTGACCGCTGCCGCGCTTTGGCTGCGCGCATATTGATGCGACCTCAGATCGTTGGGCAACCTAGCCAGTAGCAAGGACAGCTCATTGTCCAGTTCGCGGTGTCTGTTCCAGTACGCAGTGGCCTTTTCAGGAGATTTTTCAAGTTGAGAAGCCAAGCTGGTGTGTTCCATGCTTTGCTGCACTAGATGTGCGACTAAAACTCTGGCAGAAAGTTCGGATAGAATATTCGACGGATGTGTGTTTAGACTTCCCAATGAGCTCTGCAAGGAGCCAGTTTCCTCTTCTCGTCCCTCGATGAATGCTTCATCTGATACTGGGAGTGGTGTGTCAACCTATAGAGCTTAGCATTCGTCTTTCAGGATCATTGAGGTGACTCTTTCCATACATCTCTGTTGTAGATCATTGTCGGTAGTCCTGTTGTAGCGCACATTAAGCGGTCTGATATGAAAATTACCCACCACGTCCGGCATTGTTCCTCGACTTCAATGGTGTCCAGGCGGGATGGATTGGATTTTCTATCGAGACGGTGCAGTTGGAGCAGCTGCGCAATCCGGGCACTCTGGCAAAAACTGGCTGAGGCTTTAGAAAACATGCTTTGCTGAAATTCGTAGTTGGCTATTAAATCCCAGCACTGGACGTGGGCCACAGACATCGAGTTCGCCCCTTCCTACCTATAGTTAGCGGACTATAAACAATCGAGGAGAGTACAACAAACATTAGACTCATCCATTTTGGCATATGCTCGGGCTCTCTCATAGAGGGGAATTGCCATTGCTCCATAATTATCGGAGGCGTCGGCTCCGAGAGCCATGATAATGCATTGAAGACATAGCGGCGGCTGAGACTGAGGTGGGAGGGAAATGGATTCCATGTATCGGAGTCTGTGGATCATAGGAGAGCAGTGACTCTGCCTCTCGAAAAATAGGTTTGATCTTGGAGATTTTAGCAGCCTTCTTTCCATTTTCGTTGGGCCTCCTTACAGCTCTTTTGCCAGACCCGAGGAAGCGTGTTGGTTTGAGGAACTTTCAGAGCTAGTCGCCTGGATTGAACAGGACGGATCTTCGAAGACGTAATCCTCAATACTATCGTGGATGTCTTCCATTACCAGCATCGCGTTTTCTTCGCCATCGATGGGTCCCCACAGTGGGTTGTTGGAGTGAACCGCATTGAGTTTGCTCTCGAGTTCCGCTGGTGGAAAGTTGTAAGCGTGATTTTGAGTGGAGTTGGCTTAGATTTAGATTACCTAGCTTTGCTTCTAACTCCCGGACTTGTTTCCTCTTTCCCGTAACCTTCTTTCTTGCGAGAGGATAGTCGCACCGGTGCGCTAAACGTTGGCATCGACCGCAGCATGGCGCGTTACGATCGCACTTGAGTTTCTTCTCCCGGCACTTGAAGCAGGACAGGGGCGCTATAGGGTGGCTCATCTTGTCGAGGGAACGCGATCCGGGTCGGGGGAGTGCTGCATGATTCGGACGAACTTGACAGATGTCGGTGTCCGACAAATTCCAGAGACCAAGTCAGCCAGAACGAGCTCAAGTCTAGAGTGGGTGCTGTCCATTATTAGTCAGCGCCTCCTCCGGTGTCCGATGAAGACCGTAAAGTGGGGCCAAACGGTCTTTTGACAATCAGTTCCTCCGACCCAACCGTTTGTAGTTTCAGTTACCCTACACCCATACCTTCCTCCTATCAATCGAAATTGCGTCACCACTATTAGATGAAGTCCAACCACTACTACAGTCTCAAGGCGCAAGTGAAGAACTTCAACTAATGTCGCGGATTTGAGTTTGCAACAGCTAACTTTCTTCGTTAAACTTTGAATGTTCCAATGGCCTCTATATCGTCAGCACCACATGACCAAAATCTACCTTTCATCTTAGCGAACGACACAGGCAAAGAATTGTCAGTCCAACTCAAGCACAGTAGGTTCTCCTAACTCTAACACCATTTTAAGGAACTACTGGCAAAGCAGTTTATCAACATCATATCACAGAAACACATCTCTCTTCATCTACTAAATTGAATGCTTGCTACAGACGCGTCCACCGCTAGACCCAAAGCTCCTCACGACATATCCATCGCGTCACCATTAGCCGAAGCCGAGTTCCCAGCACCTCCGCCGCCCAAGTAATAATTCAAGAAGATGATGATATCGTCCACACCGTTAGGGGAGTGAAGCCAGTGGCCACCTGAAGGGTACTCCCTCCACTCCACATTGGCCCCAAAAGACTTCAAGATATCCCTGTTCTTCCGCCCATTCTCCACCACGACCAACGGATCATCAGCACAATGCTCCAACAGCACGGGAGTATTCTGAAGAAATCCATTATCAGCAGGAGCCCCGCCCACCTGCAAGACCTCCCGCATCTCGGCCAGGCTCCTCCCCGCAAAGGGGCAGCGGCAGCTGAACCCTATGAAGGCGCCCAGCCCGGTGGGTACGTCCAGGTTGAAGAGCGTGTGGATACTCGTAGCGGCACCCATGCTGATCCCCGCAAGCACAACGCGACGAAAGTCCCCTCCTAGAAGCGCAGCCTCGCCCTTGATGATGTCCCGGACGACGGTGACGACCTCCCTGAGGCCCGCGGCCTGCAGCTCCTCCTTATCGGAGAAGTCCTTTGTATTCCAGACGTCGAACCACTGCGGCATGATGGTAGACGGCGAGCTGGCGCATGGGCGAGGGGGGGCCTGGGGGAAGACCCATTTGAAGGAGGGGTAGACCTCGAAGAGGTTCCGCTTCTGGGAGTCGCGCCAGCTGTACAGCGAGCGGGAGAAATTTGTGGCATTGTCGCCCCGTCCGTGGAGGAAGACGATGGTGTGCGAGTGTCCCTGTGTAGGAGGGATGACGTGGGTTGGAATATTGATGGTGGCCATCTTTGCTTGTGATAGCATGCGTCCTTGTTCAATTGGGGTTTTTGCTTGGTGATGTTGGGCAGGACGATGAATGGTGAGGAGAGGGGTTATTGTGAAGGAAAGAAAAAGTTGGTGGTTTGTTGATGGGGAGAGGAATATTCAAGGCGTCGCGGCCATTGAATAGACATCGTGTGGTTTTCCTGTCCGTTCTAATTTTAGATCGCGAGTTTCCAGTCCCCATCCAAAGGTAGTAATGGCGGCAAACGATGCAACCGTTAAGCGCTTGTAGGGCGCCTAACATCTACATCAACTCACATCGCACAGGAGTGGGTGGTAAATATTCGCTCAAAAATAAACCTCGGGTTTTCTCCTGAGCCAATTGTTCTTACTTCTGTCTCCTGTCTCTGATCGCACCAAGGCTTCCTTCAACTTTGCCTCTGCAGCTAATCCCACCCGTCCCTAATCACCTCAGGCTTTCTGTCTTTATCTTTACAGCTTATTGCTTCCTTACTCTGTTCTAGCTATCTGCAAATGGTTGCAGGGGAGCTCCTCATCGGATATTGAAAAGAGTACCACAACTCTGCAAGTAACGACAGCGGCAAGTGGCTGTAAGAAAAATAGGGACTGTCAAGTCACCTCGACAGAATTATGATAGCAGACAGTAACATTATAAAGCTTCCTAATGTGCAATGATAAGTGGATAATATTCTCAAATAATTACTCAACAATTTCTTCTTCTTATTATTACTAGCTATTGACTACCAATATTGTGGCCTATATTGGAAATTTGGGACCAAACCTTTGCAGTCACTGGTATCAGCACGGCTTTGTCTATGCACGATTGACATGCACTCTTGATCTGGTAAGGTAGGTGATGTGTGATTAAATGTATGCTCGATTCTCTTATTGTAGGCAATGATTTAAGAAATCCATGACGTATAGCAATTACTCAAAACTTCAAGTTGATATCTCACTACGGGTCCTATATGACACGAAAAAGGTATGCAAGGTTTACACTGAAGAACCAGAGTTTCCTTGTTTGGCCCTCTGCAGAACGCTTTCTGCCCCTGGCACGTCCTTCCCAAGAGCAGTGATAATAGAAGACCACACTCGTTTTGATCGCACGGTGGCATTCGGATCAGTACAATAATACGCTGGGCTGTGGTTCAATGTTAGCAGTCAACCTTTCACTAAAGTTGGTTTTTCTCGTCTTAGTCACGCACCTGTCAATGGAATCCCACTGCCAGAATCGACCATGCCCGCGCTCTCCAAGTGCGAGACCGCTGAGATAGACCCTCGCACCCTGCTCGGCCGTCTTCATCATCATATACACCACGCTGAAAGCCATTCGGAAAAGGAGCGACCTGTTGTCGAACTCCCTCGTGATGGCGGACTGAGTAGGGCCCGGGCCCACGACGACCACGTATGCCCGAGGCAATCCAGAGCTCTCGTCGATAACGAGGTCAACGAGATGCCATTGCACATACATGAGGAAAAGCTTGGACAAGGAGTACTGCTCCAGGAATCCGAACGCCCCGAATGATTCCCGAGTATTGTACACCTCGAGAGGATCCTTGTCGGGGTTATCCGTGTCGGGCAACAGGCCGCGGAGGCGCTGGTGCGTACCAGATCCAACCAGCTCAAGGACAGGGGTGAAGACAGGTGTCTTGCTTTCCATCAACTTTGGCAGCAGCAGCAAGGCCAGAAGCGTGGTGGAGACGAGATTGACCTGCAGGGTCGATTCAAACCCGTACTTTGATTCCCTGAACTCGTGCGGGCTGATGCCGGCATTGAGAACAACGTACTCGAGGCGGTCGACCTCCTTGTCCACCCGAGACGCAAACGCCTGGATCGAGTCATAGTCCAGCATATCCAATTGATAGACGTCAATCCTCACGTCCGTCTCGCCCGCCTGCGCTAAGATCTGCTCCTTCGCCGCCTCGCCCTTCTCCACGGATCGGACCCCCATAATGACCCGCTTGGCGGAGCCCCGGACGAACTTGACGACTGACTCATACCCCAGACCAGAGTTCTAAAAATGCGCGACGTTTAGTCTCCATCGTGGCAAAGGAGAGGCAGGGGGGGGAAGAGGGGTGGTTACCGCGCCAGTGATAAGGAGAGTCTTGCCAGTCAGATCAGGCCCGGTATCGCGAGGGGGCCAGATCTTACTGCCTAGCATCTGATATAGGAACGCCATGGTGAAGGATTGGCGATGATTTCGCCGCGTTTTCAGGTGTGTGGATGTGAGGGGAAATGCCACGTCGGCCTTTAGGGAATCCACAGCTTAAATGTAATAATTTTGAGTTTGTCCTCCAATAACAAGACAGATAAGCTGCTGTAGCTACGTGATGTTGCATTCTAGCTTGTCTTATTAGCCGAAAGTTTTGAGACATTCTATTCCAAGATGGGATTGATCGGCTGTACACTTACATGGGGCCTCCCGCAGCTGCCAATAAACAACTCTAGACTCTTCCTACGATGGTTAACGCAACGCGCGAAGGAAAACTTACTTTATTAACCTCGCTATCCGGCGAGGCGCGCAAGCCAATTATCTCTCTCACCGAGTCTGACGATAGGCCGTAGCCTAATAGTCGACCCCTCTTCTCGAAGGAAGCTTATTTTGGATGCCGATGCTGTAATCCGTCCAGCATCAATTATCAATAAATCTATGTAGCTGAATGAGATATGCTAAATTCTGATATTACTCATTAACTATAGACGTTCCTATAGTACCAGTTTCAGACAGTCAGAGTAATAGCTTCCTTACCAATATCGCAGTCAAAAGTGTGTGCAGCGTCTCCTCTCACTAGGCGCAACACCACGCCCCCTCTCTCCTCCAATCTCGCGAAGAATCCTTCGCAGCTCACGCGAACACGGCCAAGAGTGCTACTCGGCCTGCTCATCCGGCTGCTCCTCCTCGTACCCCTCCTCCTCGTCATCGTCCACCGCGACGTCCTGGTACTGCTGATACTCGGAGATCAGGTCGTGCATGTTGGACTCGGCCTCGGTGAACTCCATCTCGTCCATGCCCTCGGCCGTGTACCAGTGCAGGAAGGCCTTGCGGCGGAACATGACGGAGAACTGGTCGCCGATGCGCTTGAAGACCTCCTGCGACGCGGTCGTGTTGGCGACAAAGGTCGCGGACATTTTTAACTTTGGCGGCGGGACGGCGCAAAGGGCCGTCTGGATGTTGTTTGGGATCCACTCGACGAAGTAGGACGAGTTCTTGCTCTGCATCTTGAACATTTGGTCCTCGACGTCCTTCATACCGAGTTTCCCGCGACTGTTTTATGAATTGGTTAGCTATCAGATCGATTGACCCCCCAGCTGTGAAGCAGTGCTGCGCGTTTCACTTACAAGATGGCCGAGCAGGTCAGGAACCTCCCGTTCCTGAAATCGGAGGCGGACATCATATTCTTCGGCTCGAAAAGCTGGAGCGCCAGCTCCTGGGCTGTCATTGATCGGAAGACGGAAGATCCGCGGGCAGTCAGAGGCGCAAAACCCACGCTGAAGAAGTGTAGGCGGGGGAAGGGGATGGTGTTCACTGCCATCTTCCGAAGATCGGAATTAAGCTGACCAGGGAATCGAAAGCCAGTCGTGATGCCAGACATGACGAGCGCCACTAGATGATTGAGGTCCCCGTATGACGGGCTGGCGAGCTTCAATGTCCGCTGGCAGATGTCAATGAGGGCTTCGTTATCAAGGCAGAACGTCTGGTCTGCATTCTCCACCAGCTGGTGGACAGAGAGCGTGGCGTTATATGGCTCGACCACCACTTCCGAGACCTTGGCCGACGGCATCACAGAAAATGTCGCCATCATGCGATCAGGATATTCTTCGCGGACCTTGGCCAGCAGGAGGGTGCCCATTCCCGCACCTGTTCCGCCGCCGATTGAGTGCGTGACCTGGAAGCCTTGCAGGCAGTCGCAATCCTCGACCTCGCGACGGATCACATCGACGACTTGCTCGACGAGTTCCGCGCCCTCGGTATAGTGGCCTTTCGCCCAGTTATTTCCGGCACCTGCTTGTCCAAAGACGTAGTTGTCGGGATGGAAAAGGCCTCCGAGAGGGCCGGCCTTGATCGCATCCATTGTTCCGGGCTCGAGGTCGACAAGAACGGCGCGAGGGACGTATTTGTTTCTGGCCTGGAGGAATGTTAGCGAAATGGAAAATTACGTACGAGTTGGTCCTGGTATTTACCTCGTTGAAATACACATTGAGCCGCTCCATCTGAGTGTCGGAAGTCCCGCCGTACCTATTGCGCAGCGATGTCAGAATTGGTCAACTGCTTCAAGGGAACAAACTCACACTCCATCACCGTCAAGTCCATGTTCGGCAGTAAGATTTTGCCTGTAATCGATCAGAATCAATAGTTTGATGAATCTTTTTGTCGGCTTACCAGAACGCGGTACCAACTTGGTTGCCCTAGTAGCTCGTTAGTCAAGATGGCAAATCGTAAACGAGAGTGGCTTTACCTACGCATTGTCCTGTCTGTATATGAACCTGGAGGTTGATGAGTTAGCATCAAATCAAAATTCCGACTTAGCCAAAACATCGGAAGGTGTATTTTCTTACGATTTCACGCATTTTCAATGTTCGTCGGAGGGGACCACGTAGAATTGGATTTCGATGGGATGAATATTTAGATTGACTACAAGTAGAAGAAAAATTTCTTCGGCTTTCTACGACATTTAATTCAAATGGCGACACAGAGGAGTGATCAGGCTGCCGAATTACCAAACACCCCTGCTTTATAGGCAACAGAATAAACAAGACTTGATTGTTGGCAGCTGTCGGCGGAAGCAGGGGTGTAAGCGGCGAGGTGGTGCGGGGCCACGGTAGATAATTGGAGAATAAGCAACGGCGGGATTGTTGCTTTGTTTAATTCCGCGCTGGATTCCACAGCAACAAGGAGCAGAGTCTGTTGACTGGCTGCTGGAGGTGGTCGGATGAAGTCTCTAAGTGGAAGCACCGGAGCTTTGAGCCGTCGGCGGCGGAAACTAAGTGGAGACCCGAGAAGCCCCTGGAATTGTCCATTGGCTCGCTGGAGGGAAACATCGCGTCTGCCTCGAGACATCAACCAGCTCGCGCTTTGCCTCGCCCCCCCTGAGCAGGGTGTGACCCCAATCTGTACCGACTACCACAGCCATAAGGATGGATTCGACCGCTACAGGAAGGCGCCAAGGGCTCCGGAAGGGCACTCGAAGCTGCTGGGAGTGCAAGAGGCGGAAGACCCGCTGCATCTTCAGCTCTGGGGCCGCCCACACTGCACCTTGCACTGGCTGCCAACGCCGAGGGCTGGCATGCGTGAGCCAGGAGGTGCCAGAGGAGACTGCCCGGCCTACTGTGCCGTACCAGCCGCTGAACGACCGGCTGGTGCGCGTGGAGAAACTCCTTGAGGAGATTGCGGCAAAGCAGGATTCTGGCGCGACGCCGACCCGACACTCGGATCCAGGCAATGTGTTCAACGTAAACTCCGATGTTGTCTACACGCCCGGCATCTCTGCATGTATGGCTCTCTATGAAGGTTGTGATGGTGAGTATGTTTGCCTGAATAGGAGGCACTTTGAAAATATGCCCAGGCAACCCAGAGAGCAGCCCGAGAAGCTTCAAGCAGTGCTACCAACAACCGAAGACATGGGCATCATTGCCCGCGTCATTAGCCACGATGCGCTCTACTATCATCTGATGATGGCGATGCCATACACGCAGGCCAGATTCCCAACGTCCAACACTCTAAGCTCCCTGGCCACGCTACCAGACCTCACCTCGCACCCAGTTCTCATCGCAAAGAGGCTGCTCACCATAGCGACCTTTTTGCAGGGTATGGGGCCCGGGCATAGGAACCAATCCATGCGTCTGTCCATGCCGGTCGACGCGATGAAGACTTGCCTCGTGGATGTGGCTACGCGTTTGGTCGAAACCAGGGACGACCAGATCAGATACATGGAGCAAGTGGAGTGTATCCTCCTCGAGGCCGTCTTCCATGCCAACTGCGGGAACTTGAGGCGTTGCTGGCTGGCTGCCCGCCGACTGATGGCCATTGGGCAGCTGCTTGGTATGAATCGCCCAGGCCGTCAGCTTGTCCAGTTTTTGGACGCCGAGAACGCTGCTGACCCGCCTTTCATGTATTTCCAAATCACATACATGGAACGCGTGCTGTCTTTACTTCTCGGGCAACCCCAAGGCTCCTCAGGCTACGATACAATGCTTCTCAGCGACGAGAACCCCGTCCAGCGGATGGAGTTTCTACACTCGTGGGTGGCCAGCCAGATACTCACTCGCAACGAGGAGGGTCTCTGCTACGAGGATTATTCGGCCACGCAAAAGATTGACATCGAGATGCAAAAGGCCGCTCGCATGGTCCCTCAAGATTGGTGGCTTGTACCCGATCTGTCGGTGAAGTCAAATCGGGTCATGGGCTTCTGCCAGCTCACCGCCCACCTCATGCATCACTATCTACTTATCCAGCTTCACTTGCCGTTCATCCTCCCGTCGCCCACGGAGGTCAGGCAAGACTACAGCATCTTCACGTGCGCCCACGCCAGCCGCGAGGTCCTGGCCCGCTTCATCTCCTTCCACTGCCTCGACGGCGTGACGTTCAACTTCTCCCGCCTCTACTTCTTCGCCCTGATCGCCATCGAGGCCGTCCTGCTAGCGCACATCAACAGCCGGAGCTTTCGAGATTGGGGTGACATCCTTGCACACCAGCGGGCAAGCGATCGTTCCATTGCAATGCAGGTGTTGAAGCACGTGGATAGGGCGAGCGAGATCTGCCCCGAGGTGAGGTACGAAAAGAGCGCCAACGTCCTCCGCCAGCTCCTGCAGATCGAGAACGAAGCCTACGAGCAGTGCAGCCTCGAAGGTCCGGATCCACAGGGCACGCAGCACGGGCTGCGGGTGAGCGTGCCTTTCTTTGGCATTGTTACCGTGACGCGGCAGGGGGTCATCAAGTCTCAAGGTCCCTTCATCACCCCTATTCAAAGTTATGAGCCGCAGGCCTTGGGTCTCGAATCTGGGCGTCAGGGAGACCCTTCTCAGCCCTTTCCATATGCCACAGGGATCGAGACAAATAATTCAGCAGCGACCCTGAGCAATGATGGTCATCGGCTTTTTCCCGACTCGGGTCAGACACGAACCGGTCTCGATAATTCCGACTTCTTGATAGAGGAGGACTTTCCGAGTGTAGACACAAACTTTTTTGATAGCATAGTGACTGAACCTTAGCTCTCAATCTATCCTTCCATTCACGCCCCCCCTGTTTCAAAGTTTGAACTGCCTGGCTATTCTCCAACTCCTCTCCTTCCTTCCTTCCTACAGAGCTCCACATCTGAGCGGCTTCTTCGTCTGTAGAACACCCCGGGCTCATTCAGTCGTGCCATGACTTAAAGGAACAGTTCATCACACAAGCCCTACTCCGATAGAAGCACAACAATATTCATTCAGTACGATATTGTACAGCCTAGCTCTTCCCGTGTTTTCGCTCAAACTGGTGCAAGCGACGTGAATCACTCGGAGCCCTGCAGCCTCTTCTCCTCAACATCAGCATCAATTACGACGAAGCGCTGAATCTTCTGGATGTCGGCGAGCTGGCTCCGATCCTCGAGATCCAAGCCTTCAAAGACGCTCGAATCGAGAATCAGATTGGCCACGAATTCGCAGTCCTCGCTCCCGGCATTCTCCGAGCGGACGTGATGGCATCCTGGTGCCTCGTACCAGCTCTCGCCGGGCCCGTATATCTTGGCGCCGCTGCTGTGCTCCTTCTGGCCGGTCACTGGGTCGAAGTGGGTGTGTACCATCTGGTTGAGCACATGGCCTCGGATCACCGTGGCGACGACAGCGGCACCAGCGTGCGTGTGAGGGGGCGTGGCTAAACAACACCGCCGGTTAGTGCATCATAGGAGTTGAGGTTCGGGAGGGGAGAATGCCCACCTGCTTTCGGCGGTCCGGAAACGAGCACTCCCGTCCATGTCTTGCCCGGCAAGTTGCTGGGGTGGTGAAGATGGGAAAGCGTGACATTGAACATCGGTCGCCTGCCGTGGCTGTTAGAGATGGTGCCGGATGAAATTGGCGATATACGTACCCCTCAACCACCCATAAGCCATCCTTCTTGACCACTTTCTGGTCTTGCCACCGGAGATTGAGGTCGACGTTGGGGAACTCCATTGTTTGACGGGTTGATGTGCGGTCGATGGGAGGAAGTGTTCGTGAGATGCTGTTCAGAACAGGCAGACTTCGATACCGACGTTGGGTCCTTTAATATAAAAGCATCTTCATGGCCAACAATTAGTACCCGGTGATGACGGTCCCCAACAATTGGTAATGAGCATTCCCGAACCTCAAGGTTCGGGTTTGCAAGTCTTGTGGAGGATGACCAAATGCCGGGTCCCCGAGCCTCGATCGAGTACCCGCAGTGGACTGCAGATAGCCGAGCTGGACTTTCGCTGCTCCAGACCACTACACACGCTGGGGAGAGCCACCAGAGGAAGAGTCTGCAGCACTGAGAATAGGGCATTAGCTGCCGTATTAGCCCCGTTGGCCAGTGGCCGACTCAGTGGCCAGCGATCAAATTACGTCATTCCATCTTAGAGATAACACACCTCGCTGTGATGTAACAGTGAGCACATTCCCCGGATAGCCAATGTTCGAGTCCAGATGCATAGCCTGTTGGATTTAATAAGTCACTTTGGCTTTAGATTACCATTTCCCGCCGCTATCTAATTCACGAGTACACGCAGCTGACCGGGTTCTCCTCGCTGTATACAATCCCGCCCCAAGCCGTGTAGCCCTCGGGCAAATCATCGATCTCGCTAATGTACATCTGGTACATGTCGTCCGGTGTTCCCGTTGTGACATTCGTCCAACCCCTGAAACGCTTCCCATTCAGCCTTACCTCATTGGTAGTCCTGTCAACCGCCCAGCCCTTGAGCGTGCTTCCCTCCGGGGCTTCCTCGCCCTCTGATATGTATCCCAGAGCACCTAGCACTGCAGAGCAACCATCAGCTACAAGATTCGGCCGGGATATATCCCCTCTTCGTGTTCGGCAGACTTACATTCGCCGTTGGTGCCATAGACTTGCTGGCGCCTCCTGCCCTTGGAGTAGAGAAACAGCTCATCACCCTTCAACGTGAATGTTGCATAGTCTTGCTTAGCACCTTTCTCGCATCTTGCGTCATTATTTGGTTTGTTGGCGAAAATACTCCCTCCAATTGCTGTGAATTTGAAGTACATTTGCGGTCCATTGGGGCCAGTTAACGTTTCGAGTGTAAAGGCTCGCCGACTCTGGTCTGGGCTGGGCGCGGCGAGAATGAAGGGAGCAAATAAAAATGATAGGCCGAGTTCACACTTCATTTTCATAGGCTGTTTCTAGGAGTATGCTGTTGGGCTACGAAAAGGCTGAGTGAAACGATGTGTGTTGGCAACAGAAAAAAGATAAACTTCAAACGAGAACGAGCGAGGTTCGTTATTTGTATTGGTATGGCATCGAAGAGCACTAGTTATATAAATCGAACAACAGAGAGTAGCTAATAAAATGAAATGCATCAGCATACGAAATACGAAATACGTGCCCGGTATGGTGTTTGCATCATGCTTATACGCTAACATCAGCTGTCAGGGGTGTCCTAGAGCTGTGAGCTGGTAGCAGGCATTGAAGTTGGTGTTGATGGAGCATCGCCAAGCAACTAATAACAATCACCTATACGAGGTGTTGCGGGTGTGTTGCCCTGGAAGGTTGTCGGGATATGTCCAATTACCAGCGATCCCTAACCGAGTGGGTGAACTCACTTCTGGTTTCACCGGTCGATATGGCCGTATCCACCAGAAGAAGCTCTCAATTACATCTCCCGGCCAGTTATAAACCTTCTGAAATCCCTATTCGATCCGTCCAGACTTCGCCTTTAAGGGAACGGACCACGGAACTGTCCCGACTAGTTCCTCTTCGCTATCCAGAAAGCCAAATACGGGTGCCTGCGCTGTTCTACTAGCCTGTTGGCTTGACAGAAACTTCTGAACGACGTGCATTGAGAAAATGTACCGGTCGATGAATTTCAGTATCCAGTTCTGCCAAGTTGCCATAGCAGTGGCATTACCGGCTAGCTTGCAACCTTCAATGACTGGCTCCTTGCGCGAGGCTTCATAAGCCTTGAAGGCAGCCACTATTTGGGGTCTCTCCGGTTCGGCTGCCGGATCAAGTGTTTCCGTGCGAGCTGCTTGCACTTCCTTGCAGAGTTCGTTGACGAGCGAAACGACGTCGATGATCCCGTTGTTGAACCCGGCGCCGGTGCTCGGTGTGAATTTATGCGCTGCGTCGCCTGCCAGCACGATACGGCCGTCCCAGCTCCAGTGCTTCACGACGCCTTCCTCCAGGTTTACCAAGCCCGATTGTATGCGCGACTCGTAAGCGTCTCGGATGGTAAGGGCCTGGCCGGGTGTGAGTGGGAGATGCCCCCAGCGCCCAACTAAAACCTCTTCATCGGCTTTTGAATATCGGCAGCGATCGTAGGTGGTCTCGTCCAGGCGCTCATATATGCACATGACGATAGTGTCGTCTCCCGCAAACAGTTGGGTCGCCAGTTTCTCGCCGTGCGTCTCCCAAGTCGTTCCAGGTGGCAGGCCCTTCCTGGCCGGAAAGCGAGTCCACAAGCAGCGGTAAGTCGTGAGAAAAGGCTTCTCTTCGTTTAAAAACGGGGACTCGTTGTCGATTGCAAGCTGCCGCATGCGCTCTCGCACAAAACTATGGGCGCCATCCGCACCGATAACGACGGATCCCTCGTACGAAGTACCATCTGTGCATGTGATGCTCACGCCGTCCGTAGTCGTAGAGATGTCGGACACTCTCTTGTTCGGAAGCAGGTTGGGCATGTTTTCTGTTGGAAGTGACTGGTAAAGAACCTTGGTCAAGTCATGTCGGCTGATGACTCTGGGATATGCACCGAAGCTAAACACTCTTGTCAGTAAATTATAGCCTAGGGGGTAGCCCTGTTCTATTTTTTCTCGACTCACTACTCGTTGTCATAGAGAAACCACTTCATACTACCAAGTCGGCGACCACTGTGATCCATGCGGTTGATGATGTTGAGTGGGGAGCTGACTTTCTTCAATTCTTCGAGTAGGCCTAGCTGTCCCAGAACCCGCATGCTCATAGGGACCAGGATCAGATTGGATCCAGCGTCTATAACGAAGCTCGACCGCTGCTCGAGGATAATGAAATCAATGCCGGCTTGTGATAGTGCGTGGGCGCACGAAAGCCCCACGGGGCCGCCACCGACAACGATGACTCGGAAGTTGGTTGGTCCCATGATGAGTATTGAAGTTCTTCAAATAGCTCGAGACGTCCGTATTCAAGGACTGATATTTGTCTTGGTCGATTTTTGGTGCGGGATGGTCTGTTTGAAGGTAGAGACAGCCTGCATGGAGGAGGCCCGGGGTCGCAAAACAATGAGAGGAAAACACAGTTGATCATGTCGACACAGCGCAGCATACTTGCTTAAAAATGGGCTTGGCTTTATATTTAGAGAAATTGTAATAGATGGAATAAGTAACAGGTATTCGCCGTCTCGGAGCTCGGTATAGAGTTGATGTTTGTCTTCGCGTTCGGCCATACAAGATGGGGATGCTGCCGTTGTGTCTACAACTGACAGAGCTTGTGATTGGTCCCGTTGCTGCCACGCTAACCCATTTTCGTGTTCATCCTCACCCGCCAATCAGTGTCCGAGGCTTCGCGTCAAGGCCAGAGGCACTTCAGGAACCGCTTTGTCAAGCCGAAAATAGCATACGGATCATTCCCGTTTTCTGACAACGCTAGCCAGTTTTCGTGTTCCCTCGCTTCTAAAAATTAATCCCGAGATCTCTGGAACTTGGCACCGACATGATGCTGAGAAATCTTATAGCAAGCGACTGAGTACCTGGTCTCTGACAGTGGGCGCTCAGGTACCTAGGTACCTTCTATGGGTGGAAATTACCTACCCGGTACCCTCGGGCGAGGTGGCTCGTGGAGCCAAATGCTGTGTGGCCAAATTCGCAACGGCAGTAGTTCTGCCCATTTGTGATATTTTTTGAATTTTGGTGATTGATATTTAAAAATTAATGTCTGGAACGAGCATTAATAGATACCAGTAATTGTGCAGTCTATGCCTCGGCGTGTCCCGCGTTTATTGCGATTGGTCTACCAAACACAGGGTCCGAGCAACTGTTAGTGCTGTATCTATCTGAGTAGGGTACCTAAGTACTTAGCGTGAAGAAACCATTCTTCATCGTACTCAAATACCTTTGATTCCCC